ATAATATTATGACTTTATTCTCGTATTGTAATGATTTTATTCTTATAATACTTTATTCTCGTAACTTGTAGTTGCATTTTCTTTTATTTAACATCTTATTGCAGCATAAATTTCATCAGCTAAGTTGCTAAGCTTACTTTTAAAAAACAAATCCTTCAGTCCGTGGTGAATTTCCAAACTGCGCCGACACGTTAAAAAAAAATAAAAACACCACCGTCTTCATGTCTCAGTTTATTTTGCTGCTCGCGCATCAAATCCTGGGATATCTTCGGCTGGTAAGGATACATGGATGCATCCTCGGATTTCGACAGGAAGTAGGACGCATTCCTCGGCCGCATGATGAGGAGCCTTCGAATTGGGACTGTCCTCCGCGCGGGGCAATGACGTATGCAGCCGACAAACGCGCACTCATGAGGACCCAGCCCCTGAACTGAGACCCAGCCGGTGTGTATGTTGAAATGTTCAGTTACAACTCTAAATGTTTTTTTCACAAGTTTCAGTCCCAACATGCAAATGTTGGGTTCTCAAAGTATCAAATATCGAAGAGGATCAAATATCAAACACGACTCAAGAAATTGACTTAAAGGGGACATACCACGCAAAATCAAGATATTTTTCTGTTTGGGTCATATTTTTCAGACTTTTCAGTTTTCTTTATTTTTTTGAATGACATTTTCTGAGCGATTACGTCAAATGATCTGTGATGGGATTACCACATAAGGTCTGGACCTATCATCTACAATTCCCTTGTCTTAATTCTCCTCTGGTTCTGGGTCAGACTCTGGCTCCAACATGGATGGACAAGTCTTCTGTTGTTGACATMTTTTAATTACATTGTAAATAAACATGTCTGCAAGCTAGAAAACGTAACCCCCTCTCTCGAGTCGGAGTGGATCGGTCTGGAAGCCGGAGTGGGGTGGAGCTTGAAGCGTCTTAAAGGAACAGTAACATAAGCTGCTTTGAGACACACAGCAGAAAAGGGGTGGAAGAGGGACTGGTGAAGTCAGAATAAGGAGGAATTCAGACCAAAGYGTTGTAGTTCCACTTTATAAAGACCCAACTGACGGATTTAAATATATGCTATCATATATGCTTAAAAATCAGAAGACATCGATATTAAAATGTGGAAAAACTGGATTCTAAGCAAGTAAGCACTTTACATACTTCAGCAGTTTCAACAAGCATTTGTAAACGTCAGATTTCACTGTTTTAAACTAAATTTAATTGGATATAATCAGTTTTCTTTTTAAAATCTAAAGCTGTAACATGCGTGAAAAAAAATATTTTTCTGAAATAACATTTAAAGAGTCAATTATCATAACCATAATGGTCTAATTACAAAACAAATGTGTTTTTCTACTTGGGAATGTTTTAGTTCTCTTGAAAAATTAAAAAGCTGAGTATTTTTTTTTCTCCATAAAAGAACAGAAAGCAATTCAGAATCAACACACGATTTACTGCAAATCAACACTGTCAGCTGTCAACATTACTCTTCAACTTAAAACAAGAATAATAAACCAACCAACCACAACGAGTTCAGGTGCATTCTCTAAATGATGCTGAAAGGCATTCTGGGAAATGTGGAAACCAGTTCAAGAGAAGGGAGCACAAATAAACAAAAAAGGGAAAAAAAACAAGGTGGAGCTGAAACAACTAGTCTGTAACTAATAAGTGGCAGAGATAATTTGCTTTAATACTCCTTGTTTTGTTGTTATACCGATTTTTTTAAAGCATCCTGTTGCCGCTGAAATATGGGAACCAACTTTTTAAAACCACAAGCAAAAACATCAAAGATCCTCGTAAATGATGAAACCAGACATAAAAAAGTTATCTTGAACTAAATCAAACGGTGCAGTCGAACAATTTACTCCAGATATGCTGTTCTGAAATGCAGGTACGCGCTCCGTGTAAACAAATCGCTTGGCTGAATCCTCCGCACACAGAAGCTTGAGATCACGACCGATCCACATTAGACTGGCCGAAATCTGCGTACGTAAACAAATCAGGCAGATCCAGACAAGATTAGTAAAACTTCCCAGCAGGCCGCAGTGTGATAACTGTCCTCCCAGAGATTCCTTCGGCCTGAGTGTACCTGTGGGAACCGTGATGAAACACTGATCCATTAATGACGGTCTGGGACACAGGGCTCAGACACAGATTTGCCCAGTGGCGGCAGAAACGAGACATTTCTGTGTGAAAACTGAAAACAAAAGAAAAAAAATAGTAAAATGAATAAATAAAGGCAGAGGTCCCCCTGACAGCAAACCCCACCTCAGGCTGCCCCCCACCCACTCTGTTTACCCACTGAGTCCTGATGGAGGGATAAAAGGCCAGATATGTCAAGGTCTCTGTAAACACACAGGAGGCAGTTTATGTCCACATGGGACAAGGTCTGACAAATTACAGAAAGTTACTGTATTTAAGAGATTAGACAAATTACTGCTCCTGTTTTAGGCAAAATGGGATGGGACAATTCAATAAACTTTATTCTCACAAAATGAAAAGAAAAAAGCCCAGCTTTACTTTATTTAATTCAACATCTGGAAGCAGAACTAACTCTGGTCAAAAACACACTTTTTCTGAGCGGTTCATGTTTTCTGTCGAAGCCCCGCTGCTGCGTTCAGGTGCTCTGAGGTGGAAAAAGAAACAGTAAACAAACTTACCTGGACATCCAGCTCCCATTTCAAAACACAACAGATGTGTCCGTGTGCTGCGAACACAGTCGGCTGGACCGGACCGGACCGGACCGCTCAGAACCGAGAGGAAGAACAAAGTAAAAAAAGCACCGCCTCTGACTGAAGCGAAGTTTGTGAAGCTGTTTCACTTCCAGGAACAAAAACACGACTGGTTTTAGCTGTCGGTTGTTGGTTGAAACGCAGCTCTGTYCTGGTCTCGTCCTCTGTCTGTCTCTCGGTGCCGACAGGTCCAACAGGTGAGGCTGAGCTGAAATCAGGCGGAGGAAGGTGACGACAGAGGCGGATCCAAACAACAGCGCATGTGTGGCTCAAGGCAAGGCACCACCAGCGTTTTTAATTAATTTATATCTTTTTATTTTCTTCTCTACTTCTGGAGCACAATGCTGACACTTTATGTCCCGCTCTGAATTTCTTTCCTGGGAACCCTTTGACTCATCCGGATCTGCTGCCAAACATTTAATATCAAAACCAAACTCCCGTGGGAATGTGATAATAAAGTCAGATCACATGAACATTAAAGTTTGTAACATGAACAGGTGATAAAAAAACTGCAGTTTAATACATATAGTGTTGAACCCTTATAAAGGGATATTCTGTCTATTTAGAAAAAGAAGTGGTGTTTGCTGGAAAATGCTGACGTTAAAATTAAAGGAGACCCTTTTMACATTTAAATTATTCAATTGCTCTATATAAAGTGGAACTGCAATGCTTTGGCCTGAMTTCCTCCTTATTGTAACTCCACAAGCCCCCCCTTTCACCTGTTTTCTGAAGTGTCTCAGATCAACTCGTTTTGATGCTGTCTCTTTAAAGAGTAACTTACCCCCAAATTAACTTATTTTTAGCTGATAAACTGCCTAGAATGTGTCTAAAATGTTATATAG